ACATTTGTATATATGTGTAAATATTGTTTTGGCTACACTATGGTTTCCGCTACTGTTCAGTTTTCCAAACCAGCTTTTGATCCGACTCTAGTCGGGTACTATGTTTTATAATCGTTTGTTATTAAATTAAAATAACGGTTTTCAGATAAAGTCAGATTTTACGGTAGCACCCCGAATCAGTATTTCGCAAATTAAATGTTTTTATTTAGAAAAATTTTGCGAAAAGCGCGCTCTAAATTTCATGAAATAGCGGGGTGTTACAGAAGAGACTTTTGAAAAATCCATAAATTTTGCATTGGGATAAGAGACTTTTAAAAAATCCATAAATTTCGAGTCTTGCACATCCACCAAAGCAAGTAAGTAGTAAGCTGAATTCTATTTCTACATGTTTCACACTTGGTAATAGAACACACCTGATGCCACAAGTGTTTGAAAGAGTTGGTATGTTGGTTGATGCCATCCCATGAAACAGGGGCAATGTTCCATAGTCTGCATGCTCTTTTACATGTTAACAACAAATGCTTCACTATTTTCTGTTCATCTACACAACATCTGCAGCATGTATCATTCTCCATTCCTTTATTATGCATGTTGGCCAAAACAAGTAAAGTACCATTGAGGCATTTCCAGATGAATAGCTTGATTTTTTCAGGAATCTTCAAAGACCAGCTTCTTTGGAGTGTGTATTTCAAATCAGAGATGAGGAGCGGCTCTCAGGTTGATCTAGAATATGAGCTTTATGCTGAGCAAAATGCTTGTAGGTTTTGGAGACTGAAAACTTCCCTTTACTGTCAAGACCCCAGAAAATTCAATCTTTTTTCATTAGGCTTAAAAGTTATGATGGCTAGTATAGCTTTGTTGTCCTCATCAGAAAAGACCTGCTTAACCAACCACTGATTCTAACATGATCCATCAACGAGAATAAGGTCTTTCACATAAATTAGATGACCTCTGGCAATATCAATCATCTTAGGTCTGAGCTTTGGCATATTTGGAACCTAGTAGTCATCCTCAATTCTGGTTTCTGCCCACTTCTAATTTCAGTTCTAAGCCACTTGGAGAAGATATGAGAGTTTCAAGCCATCAGTTCCAAAGCCATGAGCCTTTATGAGTTTTAGCTGCCTAAAAGATGGATCTGTGGGGATAATATATGTCTTACAGGATTTGGCTGACAAGAAGGTCCAGTTGAGATGTGATTCTCCAAAGTGCTTGCAATTTAGAGCTTGATTAAAGAATTGAATACCATGGAAATGAATACCTCCATTCAATTTGGGAAGTGACATTTTAGCAGCTCTTCCAGTAGATGCCATTAGAGTTGTCTCCATTTGATTTCGACAAGAATTGGGCACAACGTCTTGAGATCTCTTTGCAAATGAACTATGACAACTTAAAGAAAGACATAATGAATACTGGAAGTGCTTGGATAATTGCCTTTAAAAGGACTTCCTTTCCTGCAGAGGACAGGAGTTCAGACTTCCAACCTTGCAGGTTTCCTTGAATAGATTCTAGCAATTAAGCAAACATTTCCTTCTTGGACCTACCAATGCCAAGAGGTAAACCCATATATCTAGTGTATTGATGAGACTGAATACCTTGTAATGTTGAGCAGATTCTTTGTTGAATGTAGGTTGGAGTATTTCTAGTGAAAAATATGGTTGATTTATGAAGATTTATTGTCTGTCCAGTAAACAATCTGTATTTGTTCAGCAAATTTAAGAGAACTTCAGCTTGATCTACCCCTGCCTTACAAAAAAAAAAAAAAAAAATGAATCATATTCAAAGAGCATATGTGAAAGAAGAGGTCCATTTCTAGAAATTTTAATACCCTACAAATGACTAGAATTAACAGTATCCAGAATGAGAGCAGACAACAATTCAACAATAATGATGAACAGATAGCGGGACAGTGGATCCCCCTGTCCAAGTCCTCTTGAAGGTTTAATAAACCCAGAAACAATGCCATTCAACTTAAAAGAAAGAGTAGTTGAGGACATATAAATAAGAATAAGCTTCTCAAAATCCCTGTGGAAACCCATCTGAATCATAATCTGTTTAAGACTAAGCCACTCCACTCTATCAAAGGCCTTCATAAGATCTAGTTTGAAAGACATAAACAGTTCTTACCTGAAGTGTGCCTATTTAAAAAAAGAAATGCCTCTTGTGGAATTTTTACATTGTCATTAATTGTCTTCCTTTAAGGAAAGTTGATTGGGAATGGCTAATGCAGCTATCCAAACTGGATTTCAGTCTGAGCAAGTATTTTTCCAAAGCACTTTGTAGACCACTGTGCATAGACTAATTGGGATGAACTGATTTAAAGATTCAGGAATAGAACACTTGGGAATTAATGATAAAATAGTATGATTCCAGTAGTGCAATAGATTCCCAGTCTAAAAAATCTCTTATAGCAGAGACAAAGGCAACTTTAATCAAATCCCAAAAATGATTATAGAAGAGAGCATTCATACCATCTTCACCCAGGGATTTTTCTGGATGTAAGTGAAAAAGAGCCTCCTTGATTTCAACTTCCTCCCCTGGTTGTAAAAGGACTTGATTCATATAATTTGTCAAGTCAACATTCCTCAAAGGCTGTCTTCAAGAGGAGATCCATGACAATTAACCTTAAGGGTTCGTGGCAAAAGGGCAAAAAAATAAAGTTCTAAAACTAAAGAATACGCTTTACGGAATGAAACAAGGTCCACAAGCCTTGTATAGTAGAATTGATGACTACTTCATCAATCATGCATTCAAAAGAACCGAAATTGAGTCACCACTCTACATCTAAGCTCAATGTAATGACAACAAACTCATTGTTTCTCTTTACGTTGATGATCTTATCTATACATGGAACAATGAAGTGATGATTAAAGAGTTCAAAGAAGATTTGATGAAGACCTTATAGATTACCGACCTTAAAAAATTGAGCTATTTTTACGGCACTGAAGTAACCCAAGAAGAAAATGAAATATTTATCTCACAGAAAATATAAAGATAATCTACTAAAAATGTAGAAGATGGATGGTTGTAAGCACGTGGCTAGTCCATTTGTCGCGAACGAAAAATTCAACAAAGAAGATGGTACACCGAATGCAGACTCATCCATATACCAAAGCCAAATTGGAAGCCTACTATATCTAGCAGCCACAAGACTGGACATCATGTACACGATAAATCTACTGTCGAGGTTCATGCAAAGTCCGATCCAAGTTCATTATGGAGTCGCGAAAAGAGTATTTCTATATTTGCAGGGTACTAAAGACTACTTAATCCAATACAACTATAACGAAGACTCAAAACTGATTGGCTACACAGACAGTTACAGGGCTAGACCAGCTGACGACCAGAAAAGCACCTCAGGCTACACATTTTTACTTGGCTCAGACATATTTTCATGGTCATCCAAAGAGCAAGATTGTGTGGCGCAATCATCGGTAGATGCTGAGTACGTCACAACAACACTAACCAAAAGTCAAGCTTTTTGGCTAAGGAGTATACATGCATACATGAAAGGACTCCAAAAAAGTTTGACAGAGATATACTGCGACAACAAATCAGCGATATCAATGGAGAAAAATCTCGTACATCACAACATGACCAAACATATTGATATCGAATATCATTTTTTAGAGAAACAACTAATGAAAAGCATATGGAACTCAAGTTTGTCGCCACTGAAGATCAGCTAGCGGATATTTTTACGTAAGCGCTACAGAGACCAAGATTCGAGGCACTACGCGGTAAGCTCAGTATTATCCAAATGAGAATATGAAAGGAGAGTGTTAAATATTGATGCTCAGGGTTCACTTCCCTAAGAATATTTTAGACTAGATAAAATAACTTTATTACTCAGAGAAAATCTAGAGAGTTCTAGTGGCAATAATAAGAAGTCAAGCAGCTTCTTTATATGTCGGTTAGAACGGACTTAACGTAATTAAAAAATACATGTAAAGTAAATGTGGAAATTAATTAAAAATACATGTAAAGTGAATGTGGAAATCTGAAAATTAAAAGACATTTTTTTCTGTCATTCATCCACCTTAAAATACTTAAAATACATAAGCCTATCACTTCACCCCTTATATATCTAAACTATCTTGTCTTCCAAAAAAAATATTTAAATGGTAATTTAACTTCAAAATACTTATATTAAATACCATTAATTATCAAGAAGGTCATCTTATTTTTTTTATTTTGTGAGAATTAATAATAAAGAAACAAAACTTAGTAAATTTTGTTAAAATTACAAACTAGAAGTGAAATACATCCAAAATTCAAAATGAAATAAAAGCCTTGGATCCGAACACAATCTCCCAACCACAAAACAAACTACAAGAAATTCGTTTAACATAGATATATTGATCAATTAGCTTAACGACAAACTTGTTGGATATAATTGATGAGTCCATGGCGAAAGATTGACATCGACTGACCGTTGGGCATCATCTTCCATACTCAAATGATCATAAACATTCAGTCTTGGGGCATGAAAAATTGTTAGAGAAGGTGAGAGCATGTCATCCATGCGTTGAGCTTGGTGATCCCTGTACACACACATACACAAACAAACAAGAGTGCGACATGAAATCGTGCACGCGTGCATGTGTATGTACGTAGATGACTTGATATAAATATATAAATACCTCAATGGAAGAAGGCCATTGGAATCCAAAAAGTTGAGGATTTGGACTTGTGGATCTCTCACTGGAAGCCACTCGAGCACATTGTCTTGATGATGATGACTTGTGGCCAAAACGTTTACATCTGTATTCGGTGACGTTAAATTCACCTGAATTAGTTAGTACAACAAACAAATTAATGATCATTAAAGTTATGCATATGTCTTCCATACTCCTATTGGTACTACACTTGTTCTTTCTTTTCGCCCAAAATATATTAGCCCCAAACCTTGTAGAACCTATTGAGTATTAAAACGATAAGTTCGATAAGTTGTGTTATATACTTCAAGGCCTAAATTTCAAATCAAAATCTAACTGAACTTAATACACCCATGTCCTTAAATTTTCATAAATTATTTATTCATTAAACATATACTACATGGGGAATTATATAATCGTTTAGGACTTGACTTTTTCTTTTTTAACTTGATTAAGTTACTAAAAATAAAACAAATTACAAATCAAAGTGGAGAAAAAAAATGTTAGTAGATTTAATATTATTATATTTCAATTTCGTCGAAGTGCAATAAAAAAATAAAATGAGATGGGAAGAAAGTAATTTTGTTAAGGAGCGAACCTGTGAAGTTCGTACAATATTAAAATTATACTGGCTTTGTAGGGCATGCTGTTAAATGAAAATATAACAACCAAAGATAAATTAGTAAGAGCAATAAACAAATTATTTTTATCAATATTTAAAAAAAATGATTATGAGATGACGAGACTCACTTTGCGCAGCCTGACCTGCTTCAGGTTTTCTTCAAGAATTTGTTCTCTGTACTCAACCTCAGGTAATGATGTGATATCAGATGGATTACCTTCATAAATCCTACAAATACATTTTAGTATTTTTCACCAAACAACAATGAAGGAGGGTGTATACAATTGCAACTTTTAAAGATTTTCAAGACTTACAAAATTTCGATGTATTCAATTGAAATTTTTTGTGACTTTTAAAAACTCTATTGGTACTCTTTTTTATTTTTCAAACGGCAAATATATTAATCATATGAAAACACAAAAGAGTACAACTGAGTGCCAGCTGACACGACTTTCACCAGACCGACCAACCTCCTATAAGGAAACACAAAGGGTGTTAGATATGCTCTAAAAGTGTGGCTTTTATATATGTACAATACCTTTTTGATCTGACAATCGTGTTTTAGTCAAAGTATTTATGTTTGCAGTTTATTTATTTATGTAATCATAGCTCCATTATATTACATTGTAGATAATATGGTTCATCGTGTCGAACAGAAAGATCATATTATCAGTTCCATGCAAAATATAAATTAATTGTTCACAGTTTACACAGGCGGTGAGGGCCTTGTTAGAAAAAGAATGTAGTGTAGTCTTGATTCAGTGGATCTTTAACTGATGGATTACATTAGTACTTATGATAAGAATTAAACGGACCGCGGGAAGATAAGATTATAATATTTACTTATTGTGGTTATAAAATATACCTTTGGTGATTGATGCGTAATCTTAAGCTATAAGATAATATAAAATGGGCGTAAATAATCATTACTTTTTTATTTGATTTACCAAGGGTGATTCATATTCTGTTAGAATGACATACTCAGTATTTTGGTACGAAAGAGTGTTTATATGATGTGATTTTATATATTATTTAAAGTCATTGTGTCCCAGTGCGCTGGGTTTATGACGTCCCCGAAAAGAGCTCAGGAAGGAATATTATATCAAACCCTGCTAGTGGACAATTATCCGACATAATGATTAATGAACTGAGTGAGATGTTTACTCCATTAAAGAGCTCAGGAAGGAATAGAATTCTTATTCCTCCATTAAGGTGGATATTACTCTAGTGAGATGTTTTATTATTTAATTTAATAAAGAATTTAGGAATTAATTATATTCCATATTTTAGATTCCATGAGGAGAGGGATATTCCTTCTAGAATATTAGATAGGGTTAAGAGACTATGAGGTCTTCTAGAAGGTAATAAGGGTTAGGAGGAATAAGAATTCTAGATGGGATAAGATATGGAGAATGGTTAGGATTCCTAAGCCAAATGAGATAAGCCCATATATAACACCTCCTTAAGGTTCTTAATGGAGCCTATATATACTCCATGTCCCAACCTTTCCTCCTACACCCGTATAGCTTGATGTTTAGGTCTTCCCAACAAGAGAAAAATCGAGATTTACTTATATTCGAGAGTTCGAGAGATTCGATTCACTGCACCACCAAGATTAATCGAAGTAGGTGTTAGGTAATCCATTAAAACGCTTTTGGATATAATTTATTCAAGCCTTTTGATCACACGAGATCCGACCACCTACCGCCGCCGCCGAAAATCGCCGTCGCCGCCCAGGATCGCCAGAAGTCGCTCGCACCCAGCTAGCATGCGAGCCAAAGCCAGTCGCTGGCGCCAGCACCTAGCGACGCCCGACAGCTACCGCGAGGTCCCCAGCGACGCCCTGTATCCCCGCAAGCCGTCGCCTGCAGTCCTCGTGCGCCTAGCACCCGTCGCGGTGTGACCCAGTCGCCCGCGCCCATCGCCTGCGTCCCAGTTCTCGCAGGAGTAGTAATCATGCGCCTACGCGCTCGACAATCCCGCACGCTGACTCCGCACACCAGCGACCAACGAGTCGCGTGCACCGCCTGTCAGTGCCCGCCCGCCTGCCAGCGCGTGCCAGCGCCCGTCCGCGACGCGCCTCGCCAGCGAGCCACACTTTTTCGCAACCAGCGAGCCAATGCTCGCTGCACCGCTGCGACCCCACCGAAACGAGCCCAAATGAGTATGACTGAGTCAACCCGTTGAACCGAACCCGATCCGATCGGCCCAAGTCTGGGAGTCCGATTCCGGTGTTCCGTTCGTATTCTGATAACTCGATCATAGTTGAGAAAGGCCAGATCCGTCAGCCCATCGGATTGTGGTGTTCAGGCGATCTCCCTCAACGAAAATCAGAAACGTCTCTGAGTCGGCAAACATTTTAAATGGTAATGTCCTAACTCTAACTATTGATTCTGATGCGTTAGGGTTTATTTTGCCTCTTCTCTGAGGGGGGCCACGTGATCCGTCGCTATTCGGACGTCGTCACTACATTCTCTTAAGATATATTGTGGCACTTTAGAAAGGGTAAGTCCCTTTGGGCCCAGTATCTTCATCGGTAGTACTGTCCTGGAGGAACTGCCCACCTCTGTAGGACGACGGCCACCAACCGCGCTAGCAGACAGTGGCGGCGTCTCACCATGGTTGCTAGACGTGCTCAGAAGCACATTTTTTGGACTCTGCATGAGGGGGACATTAGTTTTTGGTATAAGTGGTGGTTTTGTGAGGGTTCTCTTTCGAGTACTAGACAGGTCGCCCTCCTTCCCTTTCACTAAGTGAAGGACCCGTAGACAGATGGGAGATGGGATAGGGATAGGTTAGATAGGATTCTAGGTAGTGGATCGGGCTTCAGTGACCAAGAGATAGATGAGATCCAACATATATCCAATTCTTTCGAGATGTCTTCTTCACTGGTCGGGCAGAAGTACTCAGCTCGTTTAGTAACTAGAACATATTAATTAGGCGAACAGGCTCGATTCAATTGACGAAGTCAATGTTTGAAGATTCTGGACCATACTTTAGAAGCGAAGCGCAATGAAGTCATAAAGAACCTCAACATCCAAAAAAAGAAAGGGCGGAAGTACAAAAAAAAATAAAGAGCCAAGGGGCCCCTGAGTTCGTGTAAATGGTGTATTTGTCAGTGGTGTCCATCATGAATTAAGTGTATGGGTCCAGGGCTATCTTTTTCCCAACCGAAGAACCGGGCTATTTGATCATGTGAAAGATGCAAGCAAGGCAAAAATTAGTTAATCAATTAATCTCTATGACTGGACGGTATGAGGTGGAGACTTACATCTTCCGGTTCATTCTCTATGACCTCGGCTTGGGGGGAAATACGGCGGGAGACCGGCCTAACCTTCTCTTCGGGGCCATCTAGACCAACCTACATACCCTACAATCTCTATTTTTCAATAGCGCCTTCTTCTGCGCCGCCTACCGATCGACACTGTGATACAGGCGAGGGGGTTCTCATTCCCTTACGTTGTTACTGTTGTGCTGTGACCGGCGATTTTTGGACTGAGACCTTCATCCATTTGTTTCTCGAGAGTGAGACTGTGAGGAGAGTGTGGGAGCATTATTCTAGTTACACACATATACCCTTACCCACCACAGATAACTTCTTTGAACTTCCCACCACAGATAACTTCTTTAAACTTCTAAGTTTTTCACACATAGCACACACACTAGACACGTGGGCTTCATTATTCCTTATCTGATCCTTTGGTCCACCTGGACAGAAAAGAATAATGTGAAGCACAGGGATATTACCTTTTTGTGTTCACATGTTATTTTGCAGGTTGACAGACATCTATCTCTCCTCACCGCTCTGGGTAGACTCAAGTCGAGAGAGTGGATAGGCTGCGACACCCCCATCGTTTTGCACCACCCCCACAGTCATCTATCCAGCATCCACGCCCCATAGCTGTTGTTTGGGTGATGCCCGAGCTCCTTGGGTTAGCTAAACAATGATGGATCCTTTAACCGATGTATTGGAGCCGCGCGTAGGTGGTGTCTAATTAGGGACAATAGCGGCCTCTTATTACTGCTTTTCATGCCCCTCTCCAGGCCTCCTCGTGCTACGACGCGGAGATTCAGACGCTTCAGATCGGTCTTCAAATTGTTGTCTCGATCTCCTCTCACACTTGGATAGAGTTTAAAGTTGACGTTATCACTCTCTTGACCACTGGCCATCAGGACACATAGAAGATTCAGCATTCGTTCATTCGTATTAGGTCCACGCTTCGGTCGATTCGGTTTCAGATCTCGCACATCTTCCGTAAGGGGAACCGTTCTGCTGAATTCCTCACAGGAATCGGGTCCTCCACCCCAGAGGCGCATATTTTATCCTGACGATATTCCTCTCCTCCTCCGTACACTTATACGGATGGACCAGATAGGATACCCTTCATTCAGATTTGTATAGTCGGTCCTACCTTTGGTGCATCCGCTCTTCCGCTATCCCATGAAGCTGACCTTTTGTCTGGATCCATCGGACTAGAGACGTTATCTTTGTATTACTGACAGCTGTTCCCAGCCTTTTCTTGTCATCTTCTTCGTTTCTGGTTTTGCTTCTCGGTTGAATTGATGAATTCTAGACATTGTTTTGTAGATTATGACTTTTTAGCCCATTTAGGACCGTTTTAAATATACAGGTTGGAGGTCCGGCCTAACCCTCCACCCTCCTATGTGTTTTCAAAAATAAAAAAGAAAAAAATAATTTAAAAGGTTTAGCTAAGGTTATCCACTCATAGAAAAAAACTAGAATATATATTAAGATATTTTTATTTTACGAATGCAACATTAATATTTAATATTATTTACTATGGGATTCGTGTAATATATATTAAATATTTAAAAATTATTTTCATAACTTTACTTCTTTATACATGCATCTAGCAAGATAATTTGAGTGGAGTCTTCATGTTCATAATAGTGCTTATTAAATAAACATGCTGGTGTGCCTCAACTTGTTAAATAAATAAACAAACAAAACATATGAGCTCGAGTTCAACTTGTATATACTTGGTTTAACTCATTTAGTAAAACACAAAAAAACCAGACCAATAGAGAAGCTCAATTAGATATTTGAGCTTGCATCTTTCAAATATATAAGTAATTCAAACTTGAACTATCACACGTCAAATCAAATTCTGTTAGCTGACAACAAGATTTAAGGCCTAATTAGAAAGCTAATGGTCAATGTCTTGGTCAACTAAGAAGCTAGCTTGGCCACTAACAGCCTCACAATTCCAGACGCGGGTGAAAAATCTTTTCTAGCTACTTAGATATGCAAGGAGAAGATAAGTGAGGTGTGTACCTGAGCTTTTTCCCCATATCATCAAGTTGGCTCTTGCATTTGATTATCTCTTGTTGAATTTCCTGTATTTCCATCATGTTTGGGTACATTAGTTTATATAACGACAAAATAAAGGACTTTTTTCATCTTTGAATTTTGCGAAGAAACACACACCTCAACTTGAGTATCAATCATGCTAACTGGGCTACAAAGCCACCAGAAAACAAAACAAAAATGTAGGTGAAATTATGAAAATGAGAAAAAAGCTATGAATAGATGAATATGTTTGTGTTTTCTACCTGGATGATTTTTTAAAAATAGGATTTGCTTCAGATTTCAACTTCCGAAGAGCCTTCTGTAAATACTGCAAGAGATTTGAATAAGGTGACAAGAATTTATATATAGTGGGAGATCGATATCAGTTTGGCTCGTAAAATATATCAATTCGGGCTGCAGAAAGATAAGTTTTATCTAAGACTTGAAAATTTTGAACTATTTATTTAAAATTATATAGATTAATGGGTGGTGAAATGGTGTAAAAAGATAGATAAAAAACATTCCGGTATAAATAAAAATTGAAACGAGATGAAAAATATCATCAAATTTATGCTCAACCACATTTTAATTTTCCAGACCAGTGCGTAAAGGTTTATAGATTTTTTTTATTTTTATCTATGTTCAAATGTTTTTAATTAAATTTACCATAATTTTGTAACTGGTACATAAGTTTGTTGCCTTTTCATCTCCTTTGAGTTTTATTGCTTTACAACAATACTAGTACAATACCCGTGCACATGGACGGAGCCACGTTAGGCCTGGCCTGGGCTGAAGCCCAAGCCTCTTTTTTTCTTTTCTTTACCAACCATTAGTTTGAAAATATATATATATATATATATATATATATATATATATATTATATTTCTAGTCCAAACCAATAAACCAACCTACTACCCCCAAAATAATTTACTTATCTATTAAGTTCATAGACTACTAACATTATTCTAGTAAAGTATTACATATTGATGATTTACCCTTTCCATTAGGCACTAACCCACAAAACACCAATATACAATAAACTCTAATCAAATAAATAAGCCACGGTTGTATCCCTCCTTGAACACACCATAATATTGAATTTAGAAGAAAAAAAAAAGTCTATTTAACAAGAAAGAGACTATTTTCAAGAAGACAAATTAATTATTCTTTGATAGTAATTTTTATTTTTAAACCCCCAATTAGATATTTGTTTCTTGCATGTCTTTATCTATATTTTCATTTTAGTTGATCTATTTAAGGTACTAATAGTTATTGTTAGGATCATTTCATTGCAATTCTTGTTTTGTTGATTCTGTATAAAGTAGTAATTGTGTGTGTGTGTGTGTGTGTTTTAATTTCTTATCCGCTAATGTTGTTGTTGTTGTTGTTGTTGTTGTTGTTGTTGTAGTATATTATAGTTGGATAAAAACTTTTGATATCTAGGCATTTCATTTTGCTAACAACTATCCCATATGAAAAATCTATTTATTTGTATTGTGGAATTTTAAAAATTCACACGGAGCACCAACGTTCGGCCAAAAATGGAAAAGCCCCCTTAATATCATTGTTCTTTATAAAGCAGGATCGACATCAAACTTGTAAAAGCACATCAAATACAGTGCAAAATGACATAATGATTTTTTTTTTTGTAGAAGTTCGTCGAGCACAACTTCAGTGAATATATAAGAAAAATGATTTTTTTTTAAATTCTAGCCCAATCTACTCTTAATTCCTGAATCCGTCTCTGCGCGTGTACTACACAGGTAATTGTTAAGAAAATTATTTTTAAAATTAATAAATAATAATAACAACAACAATTGTTTAAAAAATAATATATGTATTTCTTAGGTTAATTTGAGGTTTTCATGGAAATAATGAGCCGATTAAGAGCTTAAAAAAATTCAAGGTTATATTAGTCAATCAGTAACATTACCGAAGGTTCTCATACAACTTGAGAGTTATATTGGTCAAACTATTATGGAATTACTAAATTAGTTTTCAATATTTTTGGAATGTCCGAACTTAAAATTATTGATTTAGAATAATATTATTTTTTATTCAAACCAAACTACGAAGCATGTTTTTTTCCTAAGTAGGATTTTGAATCATGCGAGGTTGCAACATAGGCTCAGTGCATTCTGCAATTATATATAATTATATATAGGGGGATTTAGTGTCTTATATTGGTAGTACCAAATATTTTAGAGTACGGAATCATTAGATACAATCTTTCATGTGCTGAATTGATATATTTTGTAATTTAGATGCCAAACTGGTTAAAATTTATATATATTATTACAAAAACTAGATCTTACGGATATTAATTTCTTACCTCTTGGCTTTGAATCCTTTCAGTAGTTGCATGGAGGCATAACACATGTAGACAATTAGAAGAAGAAAAAATAATTACAGCATAAATAAGATAAAATGATGGGTTACAATAATAGGGAAAAATTCAAAATTAGTCCCACAGGTATAGGAAGATGACATTTTTGGTCCCAACGAAATGCAAAAAATACAAATAGTCCCACAACTTTTAATAAATGACAAAAGTAGGACTTTTTGCCAGATTTTACTGTTTCTGGCCCGGAATGCCACGTGGCGCACACGTGGCATATATTTTTTACACGCTGGCATCCGATGTGGATATGAAAAAAATCAAAACTAGTCCCACAGGTATAGGGAGGTGACATTTTTGGTCCCACAGGTATAGGAAGGTGACATTTTTGGTCCCACAATTATGCATAAAATATGCAACAAAATATGCCACGTGTGCGTCACGTGGCATTCCGGGTCGAAGACAGTAAAATCCGGCAAAAAGTCCTGCTTTTGATCATTTTTTAAAAGTTGTGGGACTATTTATATTTTTTGCATTCCATTGGGACCAAAATTGTCACCCCCATATACCTGTGGGACTAGTTTTGAATTTTTCCCACCAATAATAAGATATTTCTTTTAGAAATAGATTTTTTTTTTGGAGAAAATCAACTAATTTATAATTATATATAAGTCCATTTTTATAATTAATTTTTATCTCCTAAATTATTTATCCATCAAAAAAACTTTTAATTGTCCTTAATTTCTCGTTACCTTCCTCGTTCATGCTCCGGCAGATTAACGTATCGTTCCATAATTTCTCCAATACTTAAAAAAATAAAAAAATAAAAATAAAAATCATTAATATCGTTTAAAATAAATCAATAATAAACTTGAGTAATCAATAATAAATATATATATATATATATACCTTTTAGGTCCGGCGAAGTTGCTTACTCGACCAGAAGGGGAGAACATGACGAGTGCCACGTCAACATCACAGAGCACAGAAAGCTCATAAGCTTTCTTGATTAGCCCATTTCTTCTCTTTGAGAAAGTGACCTGCCTGTTTGTAGTGTTCTCTATTTTCTTGATCTCCAGCTTCACTCTTCCCATTGTTATTATTTGAAAAATAAAATACTTAAATTTTAATTTTATTTTAAGTTTTTTTTTTCTTGGTGATGAAGATCACGGTGCTAAGAAGAGAAGTATATAAATATGCACTTTAATTTAAGGAAATTAAGATGCCTTGTAAATCTTATCCTGTCCCTATGATAGAAACAAAC